GGACATCCCCTTGCAAGGTAAAAGTCAATGCTAAGTCCAGATGTGTGTTCCATTACACAGGAGAGCATGGACAAGAGGACCAGATCAGGGGTTGGTTAGAAGTTCCCAGATGTGGGCGTGGGGCAGGAGGAGCCCCCTCCTGGAGGAGGCTGGGATGATCATCACTGGACCCACGTGATGCCCTCAGGATGCTGGCTGAGGAGGGCATGGCTACTTGCTGCTGGCTTGGGGGTTGTGCATGTTTGGAGTTGAGATGGATGGAGGCACTCACTGGCTTTCAGCCCAGCCCAGGGGATCTTGGAATAGATGGAGACAGAGATGAGGAAAGGAAATGGGGAAACAGAATGGGGGATGAAGAGGAGGAGCAGGAGGAGCCACGACAACATTTTTGGAAGATGCCTCACTCCCATCTTGCACAAGTGGAAGGAAGAGGAGGAGGGAGAGGCAAGGAGGGCATGGCGGGAAGAGGAGAAGGGAGAGGGGCTGGGGGGAAAGCCCAGCTGGAGAAGTGTTTGCATCTAAGCGTGGGGGCACAAGTTTGATCCCCAAAACACATACAGTAAGATCCAGCCATGGCGGGGTGTGCTTGCAATCCCAGTACTGAGAGTCCGAGACAGGTGGACCCCTGGGGCTTCTTGGTCAGCCAGGCTAGCCTATTTGGTGAGCTCTGGGCCAGCGAGAGCCTTTCAAGGTGGGCAGCTCCTGAGGTTGACCTCTGGTCTCTCCCTTCTCCCCCATGAACACACACAATCACTCACGGAGGGTAGGGAGCAGATAAAGAATAGAAATATGGAGAGGAGGGGAGGACCAGACAGGCAGAGAAGTTTGGAGTGAGACAGATGCCAGGAGAGACAGAGGGAGAGGGAAAAGGGCAGAGCAGGACCGAGATAGGAGAGGAAGGCCCAGAGAGATGGACAGAGCAAAGGACACAGAAGGAGAATGGGATGGATGAAGGAGCACAGGGACATGTTAGCACAGCTGTGAGTGGAGGCTGCTAGGGGCATAGGGCTGGGTCAGCATCCTTTTTTTTTTTGTACCTTAGTCAGCTAAGTTCAGAGATCTTGAGACAAAATAATAGCTCCCAGAGTGACACTTCCCCTCCCTTAAAGTCCTGTTCCCTACAGAATTATTTGAGTCACAGCAGTAATGAGACCAGAGACCACTTGCAAAGTCATTGTTAGCCTGAGAACTCTGAGCATCCCAATGAAGAGCAGTGGGAAAGATTCTTCCAGCCTGGCCCCTCCACTCAGCCTTGCTCACCCCTGTACACACAGCCTCCCTGGAAAGCATTTTCTAATGTGTTGGATCAAACACCCCATCACTAAGGAGCCTTTTCTTCCCCAAGGCAACAGGTCCACTTGCCAGGGATGTTTCATGAGCTCAGAGCCAGCACCAGGAGAGGAGGGAATTGAGGGGAAGGCAGGGCCAGGAGGGGGAAGGAAGAAAAAAGGGATGGAC